AAGCGAAAGACGACATATGCTAAAAGTATAATATCATTTTCAGGCGAGAACAATTCTTTAACTTAACAATCTACTGGTGGGTCGTTTTTAACTCAAAACTCAAGTACTGTCACAATACTGATAAAAAGGACGCTTACGTACGCTCTGAACAAATCGCCGCAGTAGGTACCTTCGTGCATTCTTATAAAAAAATGAAAAAAAAATGTGTTGCTGCCTTAATTATCACACAGACTAACTGAGGCTTCAACGCTGTTTCTCAATACATTGAGATGGTCTAAGCGGGAATGACTGACACATCAAATTGACATCACACTTAAAGCGAATCGTCTGTGTTGCCGATGCAACAACAATGACGTCCTAGGACCCACAGTCCACACACAATATAGCTTGAGGCCATCACACGTAGCTTTCTGGGTGGATCTCATCCGAGGAAAGATTGATAGACGTGTAACGCTCCCTGAAAGACGCCAGTTGGCCAGGGTGCCCGTGACCGTTCCCGTGGGCAAGACCAGAAGTAAGGCCTCTTGGACGCACATGGCGCGAATTGTTGGCGAAGATGAGAGAGCGTGAGTCCAGAGAGCAACTGCGCATCACGTAGCGCATGGAGGTTGTAGTTGTGTTAAGAGTCGAGCTTCGCGTCAAGCGACGCCGCACGTCGCGACGACGAAAGCCACACAGCCGCATGAAACCCTCGCGGAACTTAGTAGACATGAGGTTGTAGAGAATGGGGTTGATGGCTGAGTTGAGGAACAGCATCATCCGGCAAATAAGGAGTACAATCATGTAATTCTCAAAGCCCATCTTTGAGAAGGTCTCCGTCGACATGAATATGATGATAATGGTGAAGACGCGGAATGGGAGGAGGCAGATGAAAAAAAACATGACGACAGTGCCGAGCATAAGTACGACCTGCTTCCGGGCACGCACGTTGGATGTCTCAGTTGCCTTCACTGCTGTGGTCCCTGGGTCTGCCACAAGACGGCGAGCAATCAGAGTGTACAGGACCAGCAGGAGCACCAGGGGCAAGAGGAAGAAGACGGAGATGGTCATGAGGAAGAAGAACTGGTTCCAGAAAGTGTCTGCACGCGTCTGGCAGTAGGCCTCCGGTTCGTTCACCATGGCGGCCACTACGCTGGCACCCCCGCTACTGCCGCCGGCTGGTACGACGCTGGGCGAGTCGCTGGTCGTGTTGTTGGTTGAGTAGAAACCGTACTCGGCAATGAGCAGGACCGGGCTGCGTGAAACACCAACAAATTAAATGCTACAATGTGCAGCAGAAACTTTTTTCGGTGTATGAACAATGCTGCTACAAACAGCAGTTTAAAGTGACAGAAGAAAGTTAAGATCATGTTTTATTATCGTCAAAATATTACTTTTTGATGTATTTTACTTTAATCAGACCGAAGTAATGTGGTTTGAAAAGTTATAGCTTAATCTGAAAGCTTAGCTATCTAAGTATGACGCAAGCTGTTCTTATTCAATTAAATAAAGTGTACGAATTGTTTACATTCAAGCACCCAATGATCTCAGCCATGTACCATGCATCATACTTACTCAAATCACTACAGGGCCAGCATGCAATCCAAATATAACAGATATCTCCCAAAGAACAGACGTGCAAAGGCATCACAAAGTTGTGTTCCAGCTTGTTTACAATTCAAATAGTCTTCCGGCACGCTCGGCTCGCTGCTTTCTTTATAAAATATTAATTCTCCCGGTATGAGGTAAGCAATGAAGAGTGCATTACTATTTATTCTATCAAATGTTATTGACGGTTTTCCTAGGCTTAGGACTTCCCTACTTAAATTCAGCTAAGGTAAAAGGGTCTCGAGGTCGAAAACTCAAGCATTTGTAGCTTTTAAATTAGGAATGCATACATTTTCTGAGTGGTAATATTCTAAAGTGAGAAGGGAGCTTGTTACTGATGACTTGTTGCGCTCGGGCCTGTGGGCGCCCCAACCTCTCATGAGACATACAAACTAAGTGTACGATTGCAATTTGAATACTTGTAAGAGTGCAACTCCAAAGTTGTGCACTTGAAAGTGTTCAACTCGATAGGTGTGCAGCGCAATTGCAACTCCTCTGTTGATCACTTTCTTAGATTAAACGCTCACTGATTAGAAGTGCTCAACAGATGAGTTGCACTAGTTGCACGCTTACAAGTGCACACTGCACACACCGAGTTAAGCAATTTCGGGTGTACTACTACAGAGTACAACACGTGCAAGTATTGAACTTGCAGTTGCAACACTTGCAAGAGTTAAGCTCTTTAGTTGCACATCTAGTTCATCAGAGTACATAGCAGCTTAATAAGTCAAAATTTGGTTGGATTAATCATCTTTTAACATCCCCAATTCAAATATGTTGTATTTTGTATCTCTCCGCGAGGCAAATACACCCAAAAAGCACATCTGGCTGACTTGGGTCTGTCCGTCCGTGGTATACTTGGTAAGTCTCTTTGGCTTCTTGGCAAGTTTGCGAACCATGGATTAAGAAACGGGTTGGTTTAAGACCTCCCCCCATCCTCCTGAAAGTCTGCATACAACTTGTCCTACAATTGTAATGGCTATTTGCCCTTTAATTTAATCTCATCCATAAATAGGCCATGCAAAAGAAACCATACACTGACACTCTCAGCAAATGGATGCACTGCATGCAGTAGCCAAACACATAGCGTTTTAGGGTGTGTTACTGTGAAGATTATACAATTATGTGACCAATCAGCATGACTTGTGTTAGCAAGAACTTTTTTAACGCGTGAATATGCAAATTATCAATTGTGCAGTTTTGTATAATTTAGAGGAGCTGTCCGCACCTTTCTGAAAATTACGCGAGGTTTACGTGGTATTTTTGGCGGCAAGAGGAATAGGACATGCAGCAGAATATTGTTTTTATCAATGGCAATCGTATGACTGACGTTTTACGTACGCTTGGAAGGCGGATTTCGGAGAAGTCTGCGAGAAGCGGAAACATGCGCCTTTTCTAAGACCTGTTTTAGGATTGGGAACGGTAGCGATACCCCTTTAACTGTATGCCAAATGAGACGGGCTGTTTTTTAATCATTTTTGTGTGTATTTAACAATTTTCACGCTCGATGGCATAGTTACTTACATATAGTTGGAAGTAAGATGATATCCCAGCGCAAATAAAAGTTGCAAAACATAAGTGTTACATTTATTTCTTGAGGACTGTGCTGGAAGATAAACCATCCAAGTGTCTAGATTTAAAAATTGTTATCTGTACAGGCAGAGGCTAGTAAAACCAATTTGGAAAGAGCTGAATGCATTATTGCATTGATAGAGCAAGCCAATGACGGGACAGTAGTGGAAGGGGACAGGAAAATGAAGGTGCTCTGTAATGGTATATTTTAGTTTGAATAAGGTTGGATCCGTGTAAGGTCTAAAGAATATTTATCTAATGGGATTTACTGTCGGACACAGGGTCCAGCACTATCTTTTTTACGAAGGTGGAGCAGACCACCAAGAGCAAGAGCTCCGAGAAGAGCCAAAAGGCGAAGCCACTGACTGAGTGACCTTAACTCGGTCATTTGCGCGGTCAGTGTTTCGGTGCTCTGTGCTCAGCGGCCGCACGTTCACGGCGTAATCGTGAGCATGTGCTTCCTGCGCGTAAAGCTCTGTTCTGAACGGAATGTAACACAACCGGTTGCGCACCAAGCGCAGTAGATCAGCGCAGCGCTTAATTCGTACCCATATCCTTCGTACAATGGTGCCGCAAACCACTCAGCAAAGTACTCTCACCTTCGAAAAAAGACAGCGCTAAACGCTCACCTTGTGTATTTTTAAATTAATTCCCGATGCGTTTATTAAATTATGAAAGGCACTGTAACACGCAAAGCCCTTGAAGCCTCGTTGGGATTTTTCTTTTAGATTCTGTTGTTGGTTTTGACTGTTTTGTCATGCTTCTGGGTTGCTTTTGAGTTAATAATTTTAGCCCTTATAGGGATCTACCTTGTAATTTGAGAGAGGAGTGCAAAAAGAACAATAAAAGATGTGTGAGTTGAAGTATGTTGAAAATGACGGTTAGGAGAGTGCATCAGTGAGCCGCGCTAGAGCTGAAAAATCCACAGAGACAGCTACACCAGGGCAAACATTCATGATAAGACCATGTCAATGATGGTAGAAATAAAAAAAAAATATCTAATAGAATACGACTGCAACATTTATAGTAAAGCAGAAGAGGGAACATTTCAATTTTTAGCATGAATATTAGCCCTTATGGTGAGTAATAAGGTAAGCAGTCTTAACTGGCCTATAAAAACCACACATGTAACGTAAACGAGAACGCATAGGGCATTTGATTGAATTGTTTAACTTTGTGGTATAGATGATTTTTATAGGCGTTAAATACTACACAGAACAAATGACGGCAGCCAAAATAAACACATAGATAAAAATAAGTCACCAATTGTTCCACACGCGTAAAACCGAAAAAGTCCACTGGAAAAGGATATTTTTGGTTTAATGAAATATATGTGATGGGCGTGTTAATTTATTTTGATATTATTTTCAAAGACGTTGTTTTGTATCCTTTTTCAGTGGTTTGAACAGAAGATAAAGGCAGGTGTGCTATGTGCTTTTGCCACCACACAGAGATGCAAAAATAAACAATATAAACTTTGTGGAGTTCTCTCGATCTCATTTGACTTCCCCCGTCAGCACAGAGAAAAAACAATTTTGATGGAACTGATTAAATAATATATTCAAGTTAAGTTTGATTCGATTGAGTCAAACACAATTTACTTAAAAACTACAGTACTGAAACGTAGTTTGTTTGAAGAAATAAATTTTGTTTTCTATGGCCCGCAATGCACCAGATATGCAACGTATAATTCTCTTAATTGTTTTAAAAAGCCGCAAAACATTTCATTCCGAGCTGTCGTGTCACTGCATTTTCATTCAAATGACAAGCATTTGGAGAGAAGTCAAAAGAGGGCGAGAGAAACGAAACAAATAAAAAATAACAACACGAAAATGTGGTACCTTGTGAAAATTGCTGCGAACGCCCACGCGCAAAAACAGATGAGCAGCGCCCTCTCCTTGGTGCAGACATAACCTGCCTTCAGCGGTTCACAGATGGCGTAGTACCGTTCAAAACTGATGGCCAAGATGGTGAGAACAGACGCATGGGCCACGGTCAACTCGACAAAGGGAACAGCCTTGCCTGCAAGCAAAAAGAGCAGCGCATTACGAACTCGTCCCTCAGTCAACTTCACTGCAGGTCATTACTGCGCGGCTGAGAGAGCACATAATCGGCTATTTCACTTGAAGTTTTGTGCAGGGGCGCTTTACTGAATACGCGCTGCTTTGCTCTAGTTAGCAAGCACTGGGTGGGG